CCTGCGAATGTTTGCGCAAGTGTCCCCTGCAACATGTGAGCCACCCGCTAGAGACTCGCCAAAAGCATTCACAATAAGAATGTCCAAAGGGAAAGCCAACATAGCATTTACAGGGAGAGAACAAAACGAGTGGCACACGGCCTCTACGGCATCAAAGTGATATGCCAAGCAACCAGTCCGACAAAGAGGAAGCAGCGGCCTGAACAAGTGCAGTCATTTGATCGATGCCTCTAAGCCAGATTTGTGCTATGAAGGACACTGGAGGCGGCAAACGAACTGATAATTCAAGTTGGACGTTGCAGCAGCAGCAGCAGGAGGAGTGGCAAACTGAGAATCTCCAAACCCTCAAGCCCCCGTCTAAAATGAACTGCTGGCCCTTCTGAAGAATTCACGGTCATGAGTGCAACTGCCGTTTCTGCGACGGTCTTGTGGCCGAGTGCCCAGTTTCCACGAAACTCCCCTCGGGAGCCTGCAGCAAAGGTTCCTGTGCAGGGCGATCACACCTGGGGCTTGCAATCGTGATCTCATGCAACGAAGGATGCAACCCGAATACCCTAAAACCCTAAACCCTAGAGGAACCCCAATGGGTCAAGAATTCCCTGTTGGTGTCCAAAGCTGGGCGTCGCACTGCATTTGCGCCCACCGACCTTCCGGAGTGACAGTGACGCTTCAGCGTTTTTGGGTTTTAGGGCTTAGGGTCTTATTGTTTTAGGGTTTCAGGGTTCTAGGGTTTAGGGTCTTAGGGTTTTAGGGTTTAGGGTCTTAGGGGTTTAGGGTTTTAGGGTTTTGGATTTAAAAAGGATTGTGGAGGGTCTGTCGTAGTTTGGCAATCTTCAGCCACCCTGCCAGAGATGCCCTGCACCCTGCCACAAGGGAGTGCCTAAACCCTAAACCCTAAACCCTAAACCCGAAACCCTAAACCCTAAACCCTAATACTCACCAGCTCCAAACGCCTATCCGGCACATAGGAAGCCATTTCTTGGTCTTCTCTCCACCAGTCACATACCCAATATCTACGGAAGAAATTAGGTGCTTTCCTTGGTACCTGCGGAAGAGAAGAGAGAGAGAGAGAGAGAGAGAGAGAGAGAGAGAGAGAGGGAGAGAGAGAGAGAGAGAGCGAGAGAGAGCGCTGACTGAGACTTCCACACCATAGAGGCACGAGTGGTAACGCGGCTGGTGCGGGAGTTCCACCTAAGCCAACGAAATGTTGCATCCTAAACGTTTTAGGGCTTTGCAGCTTGGAGCTTAGGGATTTGGGGTTGCGTGCGTGGGTGTGTGTGTGTGTGATGTTTTCAGGGTGCGCAGCACTTGCATCTTTACCACCAAGTAGCCCGCACAGATGACATCATGCGTATGGCTGAGGCAAGCAACAGCATACTTGGGAAATGTTCCTTTCGTGCATTTGGTTTGATACGAGGCCATTTTGGCGTACTGTAGACCACGGTGGCATTGCAGCATGCGTTGGCCGAGATTTAAATATCGGTACGGATACAATGCGCGGCGCCTAAACATCGGAAGAACAGATCATCTCGGCAAGAGATCGAAAAAAGCACTGACTAAGTCCGTGGCACCGTCGATCGCTGCACCATCGATTTGAAACTGTGGTGGCCGAGACAAGTAAGACTCAAAAGTAAATGAAACATGGAATGCTCCATTCCGGCAGATCTCAGTTGTCTAGAATGTGCGCGACCCAGATATGTCATCCAAATCTGCAGCGGGCCTGTCTTCATTGATCTCAAAGATGTTCACAAGCTCATCCACAGCATCACGGTCGGTCAGGTTCCATGCGCCTGTCGTTCTGGGGTTTGTGGCATCGAAATGCAGCTGCTGCAGAGCTGTCGTGTCTTCATGGAATGTCGCTCCGGAACTCTTCGCTCGGGGTAACCTCACGCAACCCCAAGATGCAGCGGTGAACCTTGCTGTGAATCGATCAAGCCATAAGTGGCAAGTACCTGCGCGGATCAGCGTTTTGGGCTTTACTGTTGGTTCGATGCTGGGTCTTCTGGCGTCGGCGGAAAGTAATACAACATGAGTCCGGAGCTTCAAATAGCTCATTACTGCAGGACACCAGACTTGCGACCGTACAAATACCTCCCTAACCATCCAGAAGCTGAGCGTGCAGGTCATTGGATCTTCCAAGCGCACACGCTTGAACCGCAGCATCTTCCGGAACCGATCTTGCACAACTGCATCCACCTACCGGAAAGGGCCCAGTTGTCATGATGTCATGATGTGACGGTTTAGGGTGGCGAGGCTTCAGCTTCGTGCGAACTCTCACTGCAAAGACTTTAATAGCTCTCGGCATGCACGGCTCGTATTGCTGGGTGGTTTGCGTTGGTGCTTGGCAACTCAAGGTGCTGCTCCGGCTTCGTTCCGTCGTTTCGCTGTCTTCAAGGAGGCAGAATTCAATCATGCAGCTTCGGACATCAACGGTCCCCTGAAAGAACCATGAAGATCCTTCTGGATCAAGGGCATGAAGGGCAGGCAAGTGCAATGAAGTCAGCATACGTGCAGCTTCGGCTGACATGTAGCCGTGCATAGTCACCCCTCACCACACCAAAGGAATCGCTCATGACGTAGGCTAAGGTCTACGAGGAAAGAGTTGCAAAGCTGAGGGTCCCGCTGAAAAGGAGGCGCGCGGTTTGACCGAGCGCCGGGAAACACGGTCTGCGAGGCCTACGAGAAGATCAGGAACACGCATGTCAGCTCTCTAAAAGATGCAGGCGTTTATGACTTTGATGGCGCGAGCCTGTGCATGCAACAGGCGGGTAGGCCGGCAGGCAGGCACAGCATTTAGAATCTAGAATTAGGCAGGTAGCTACAGCTTCGCCAGGCAATCCCTTGAAAGTGCCTGGCTTCACCGGCGACGCGGTTGACACGCGCAGGGCCATGGCACTCACTGGGCTTTCGGACAAGAACCGTCGAGTGAGCTCCAAGAAGCAGAGATACCCGCTGTTTGTCAGCCCCAGTTGCGGCTGCAGTGTGACTCTTGTACCGGCCCAAAGAACGAGAGAGATAGCTGGCTCCCGGGCACCCATCGAGCCCAGCAAACGACGGTTTGAGGCGTGGCAGCAGGAACTGCGTGGCTTGATTCCGTACATTCCGAGTGCTCATCCCCTCCAGAATCATGTCGGAAGCCAGACTTTTCCCTTCCTTTAACACATACTCACAACTTGTCCTTGCATCAGGTGGCGTGCCTTCACCAATGGCCGGCAAAGCCTGCCTTTTCGTGCCTGTCTTTTTCGCATCTTCCATTGGCCATGCCGAGGTGAGTCGGTTCAGAGATGCCTGTGACTAAGCGTCCTACGCGAAAACCTAGACCCCCAAAGCGCACGCCCCTTGAACACACAGGGCTCAGAGCTCCATCTGCCGCGGCCCAACATTCATGGCAGACCGATTTCGATACCACCAGAAGTCCAGGCAGTTCCTGGGCGTGCCAAGGCGACTGATCCACTTGGAGGTTCATGGTACTTAGTAACCAATGATAACTGTACTGATAACCCGCTTATAAAGCCCCCTAAGTGCCCTAATATGGTTATGAGTACAGTTATATGTACAGGTTATAATTGGTTAGTAAGTACCATGAACCTCCAAGCAAGCCCATGAGGGTTCTTAATGGTCAAAGGCTCAAGTGGGCGGCCCGACACAGTGGGACGTCTGTCAAGGAGTTGCTGCACTTGGCTCTTGCAAGGCACGCTACAACTTTATCCTGGGCGGTTTAGGGTTTAGGGTTTAAGGTTAGGGTTTAGGGTTTAGGGATTTATCCTCGTATTCAGGCCTTTGGCCACTCAGGGCAGCACAACTGGGGTGACCCTTTGTCGAAGGGATTCTTGAAGACCTGTCCAGGTGGAGAGCTGTGTATATAGGAGACTCAGGCTTCGTTCCTAAAGCCTAAAACCCCGACAGGCTCCGAGGCATCCTCAAACCCTCAGGGAACCTTCAGAATCTGTGCTGCAGCGCTGGCAACCAGTTGCGGTTGGGCCCCCAATCTAAGGGCCATGATCTGGTTTGGGGTGGTTCAGGTGGGGTCCCCGGCCTTTCTTCTGAGGCCCTTGTCCTGGTGCGCCTGTCCAGGATTCCGGGTAGATTTACCCTGAACCCTAAACCCGAAACTCTTGGGGGGGGGGGGGTTTAGGGTACGGGGCGTTTGGGCTTCGGGGGGCTTAAGGCCTTCGAGTTGCCAGGCTTCAGCGCCAGGGGTGGTCGCGGCACTTCCCCAAAGCCACTAACTTGGGATGCTCCCCCTCATACGAACAGTCCAATAGGGTTTAGGGTTTAGGGTTTAGGGTTTAGGGATTCTATAGTACCCCCTATTGTGATCACTATCAAGGACTGTTAGTATAGTACCCCCTATTGTAATCCCTATCAAGGATAGTATAAGGGGGAACATCCCAAAGCCCTTAACCTTCACTTTTCCCCCAAAGCCCTCATCTAGGGACCTCAATCATTAGAAATTAAAATCGTATTTCGGGTTTAGGGTTGAAAATAGGGCCTTAAGAAGTAATTGTTTTTTGCGGATGGGTGTGATAGTATAATCATATAGGGACCATAAGGGAATACTGCTAGCAAGTATTCCGGCCCCTATAAACCCTGAACCGCCGCCTCTGGACCTAAACATTCGGAAGTGTGTGGGTTTAAGATTTAGGAGTTCAGGGTTTAGGGTACTAAGGAGTGTGCTTGGGGAAAAGTTTTCCTGGGATTGAAGCTGGTCGTGAGAAGGCAATCGTTCATGTGGAGTCTGGGCGAATGCAAACCCTGCCTCTTGCCAGAAGTGGTCATAGCGATCTTTGTTGATCTGCCATGAGAACAGCGGAACAGATACCAACTTCAGTCTTTCGGTTGCTAACCGAATTTGGTGAAGGATTGTCGCTGGCAGATCCCAGCCCAAACCCAGGTCTTACTGAACCCTACAACCAGCTACAAGATTCAGGGTCCATCACTTTCAGCAGGTTGCAGTTCTGGTGAACCCCCATGCGTTGAGTGAAAGCAGTCATGAAAACAGTGTCGTCGACACCGGTGCCGTAACCTCTCCTCCCCATTGCAGGATGCAGGTAACCTGCAGATTTCAGACCCTGGAAGATCTGCTGCCCACCGGCTGCAGGTAGTTTACTTTCTGAGCCTTGGGGTGCTGTGCAGCATGTTGCGTTGCAGTTCACATCTGTCACTCATGTCTTAGTTGTCCAGTACCTAGGGGAACTAAAGGTTAACCTTTGGGACTGCAAGGGGATTCTACTACCCCAAAAAGGTTAAAGCTTTCCCACTCTGCTACTAAGATGTAGAGGCACAGAAAGCCACAGCCAGGCGGACCATTTCGTTGGTGGTCATGTTGATCGCTATCAGGTAGAGGTGATTGATCAGCAAGTAAAAGATCCCCTGGGCCCAGGGACTTGCAAGGATCAGGAATTTCGGGGCCCCTTCAGAGTGCTGTCAGCACACACCAGCGCAAACCGGAGCACCCGAAAGCTCGACTCTTAATGTATCTAACTTGCATAGTGCGTGCAACAAGGCATACCACGGATATCAGATTGCTCACTGATCTGGAGGTCACGCCCCCTAAACCCGAAACCCTAAACCCCAGACCTAAACCCTAGACCCTAGACCCTAGACCCTAAACCCTAAACCCTAGAAGACCCCGAACCCTAAACCCAAACCCTAAACCCTAGAAGACCCCGCACTTGGCTCTTTCAGGGCGCCGCCGGTGAGGAGAAGCCGTGCATGAGGAGAACCTAAAGCTTTCAGCTTGAAGCCCGATTTCACGGTGGGGCTTCGTGTCAGGGGCATGGGACATTTCGAGCGGTTTAGGCTTCGGGCTAGGGTTTAGGGCTTAGGCCTAGGCTTTTTAAGACTCAACACAGCCGAAAAGCCCTCAGTCGAAAGCCCTAAACACCACAAGCCCACGAAGTGTCCAAGGCCGCAGCAAAGACCAGAAGAGGGTACTGCATCGCCTCACGGCTTCAGGAGTTTAGGGGTGGGGGTGGCGGGGGTGGGATGGTGCTGGGGGTGTAGAGCTAGGGCTCTTTTCGTTTCGGGGCCTATAGGGCTTAGGACGCTTTAAGTGCTTGTGGTGATTCGCAACTTGGGATCTGAGGTCTGGAGTGCACACGCCCCGTCCCCCCACGCTCAGCCGAATTCGCGTCTGGCTGTGACGAGCCGTGACAAAGTCGAGGAGTCGAGGATGTTGAACGGCTTCAGATGACTTCAGCATAAACCTCGCCCTGCCATCCATTTTTTATCGGCAGCAATACGTCTTGAGGGTTCGGGCTTGCAGGGTGTGTCCTCTACATTATGGCCCCCTTTCGGGAGGAATCCGAAAGGGTACCATGATGTAGAACTTGCTAAAACCTGTGTCTACCCTACAAAACGCTAAGCCCACCCGCAACAAACTCACGCATAGCCCTTCCGAGGCCCAGCTGTTCAGGTGTTCTCAGGACGTGTGCATGAATGCTCGGGCGCAGGGTGACACACGATGAGCGCAGCAAAGCTTGCAAGTCAGGACATTCTGTGCCGTCTGTTGCCACTACCCGAGTCGTTAGGCTGAACCCTGCTGAACCCAAAACCCTAAACCCTAAACCCTAAACCCTAAACCCTAAACAGGGGAACCGATTTTTGGTATTTTTGAAGCCAGGTGGAGGGGCAACTTCTTTCTCCACCCCCGGTATACGTAGTTGGCGATGCGGGAGTTGCATCGAACTCCCTGAAACCGAATGCCGACACCGCAGGACCCGGACCCCTCTAGCCCCCAATAGATGAAAGGCCGGGCATCGTGCAAGGTTGTACAGCCAGCCGGTCCAACTGTCAGGGAGGGCGAATGCTGGTCCAGCTAAACTGTAAACCCTATAACCCTCAACCTCAAGCCGTGTTCAATGAACTCCGGGAGGACTGGGCTGGGTTGAGCAAACTCCTGCGCCTGTCCATCTGAAGACGGTTATGCACAAATTCTGCACAAAGCTGGAATGATGGGGTTTGGGGTTTGGGGTTTAGGGCACCGGGTTAGGGTTTAGGGTTTGGGGTTTGATAGCCTGCGGGTCCTTTGAGGATTTAGCTAAACGACAATTTCCAACTCAGGTAAGTCATTGGCACAGGAGAGGAGTGAGGGCCAGTCGACTGAAGGCGAGCTGCTGGTCACAACCCATGCTTCCTAATGCATCAGTGCGGGTCGGTCTCCAAAAATGTTCCCTGCACCGGTCCTCCTGCGAGAGACCGTGAAGATTACATGCCGAATCTGGATGAGCACTCTCTACGGGGCTGGGTACCCCATTCAATACAGTAGGATTCGATATAACCCAAAAGGTTCTAGGATACCTACCCTGTCCCGAAGCCCTGAACACGAATTAACCTGAAAGGCCTGCTGCCCTCGATGGTGCTGCGCGCGAAGGTGATGCAGAGGGCCAGGTGCAGCCACTGCACGCTCAACTGCGCTGCGGCTCAGAGCTTAGGGCTAAGGCTTAGGGCTAAGCCCTAAACCCTAACATTTTTGGGAGTCCAGGGTTGAACAGCTCAGTTAGGCCCGAGGACTTCGTTTCGTAGACTGAGCTCCCTCACTGGGATTTGGGGGAGGGAGAGGGATGGTTGGAGTCTCCGGCTGAAGCCCTCAACCTTTCCCAAACCACGGCCTGTAAAGCCCCAGAGTCGAGACCCTAGACCACTATTTGCGCAAGAATGCCCCCCTAAAATGAAAGACAATCATCCCCATGCTGCCCTTGTGAGGGAGAATTTTTTTTTTTTTGGGGGGGGGGGGGGGTGCTTCAGCAAATAGTGGTAGATCTTACTTGAATCCTGCAAGGTCGCCTCAGACTCGGCTGTCAGGGCTTACGGGTCACAAGGCTACGTGTGAGGATTCGAGATTCAAGGTTCAGGGCGTTAGGGCTAGGGGGGGGGGGCTGCTAGAACAGGGGAGCGCGATGCAAGAAAGTGATCTCTCATCTCGCGAACAAGAATGCAACAGCAGATATGCAGTGTAACCCTAAACCCTCAACCCTCAACCCTCAACCCTAAACCCTAAACCCCTAGCCCCTAACCCCTAAATCCTAAACCCAAGAGGCTCTACACTCTAATGAATCCCACAGGCCCGAAGCTGCTTCAATCTCTCGAGGGCCTATGAACAAATCTCAGAGGTTCTCCAAGACGTGACCACAATGACCCATACAGGCCAGAAGGAAGTTATTTAATTTTTGCGGGCGCTGTGGTCACGTGAATTCTTGAGCTTTTCTGACCCCAAAAAACAACCGGGAAAGAGAGTTGCAGTAATCATATCTGTTCTCTGAGAAAAAGTGAACAACATGACAGCTTAATCCGAGGATCTGACTAATGGGTTTCTCCCCTACCCCCTGCGGGAATGAAGGAAAGGGTCGTCTTGTTTCCAGGGCCGGTTCTTTTTGGGGGGTTGAGGGTGGGGGGGGGGGGGGGGGGGGGCAGGTGGGCGGGTGGGCGGAAAGGGGCTGTCCTCCTCCTCTTCTTGGCCTCCTAAGTAAGGAATTGCGCTTCTCTAATGCTCCAAGGCTTAGTATTCCCTTCTGGGAAACTTATTTTGGAGGGCTTTCCCCAATTTGTTTTCTAAGTTCCCATTATCCAGTGCTTATCGTCATCGGGGACCCGCCGGGCTTTCAATTATGTGGGCTTTTCATCATTCCAGCCTTCAGAACTTCCACTTCTTTTGAACCAATCTTGCTTTTGCACAAATCTCGGGTCTTTGTTTGTGCATTTTGGAGGTTTTGGCCCCCGGAATGGAAAAGTGGCCTCTCGGAGGGCTAGGGTCCAAAACTAGTGTCTCCAAATCTCGGGAGCGTTATGCATCAGATCCTCGGAAAACTATTGTTTCTATTTGTTTCTTATTCTCAAGGAGCTGGCAACTCTGAGCTGCGTGACGGACGTCACTTCTACGCATGCTTCTCAAGCTCAGCTCCGTCCCTCAACATCTGTTCCTAAACCCTAAACCCTAAACCCTCTGTCTCTTACTTTCTCTCCCAACGTGCAGGCCAAAGACCTCCTACAATTTGAAAAGGAACGCTCTAGGACGCCTTTTCGCTCTACGCAATCCCATGACACCCAGTTTCAAAAGTGCCAGACCACGAGAAACCTGGCCGCCGTACATTGCACATCTTCGATCCTGCATGTAAAAAACTCTCGTCAAGGTTTGTGGCCTTTGTCTGCCTCTGTTTAACGACTATAATGCCATCCCCTAGCATTCCTTTGAAGAGAGCTCTTCACACCACGCGCCTCCAGGACAGTGAGCACGATGAATGGGCGGTGGTTACCTCCGCCAAATGTTAGTTCAAGTAAGTCGGAAGCCTTCGGCCGTCTCTGCAGGGGTGCTTCAGACACAAACCCTGAACCCGAAAAGCAACTCCCTGAACTCACCTAAACTGAACGCTCCTTGCTTTCCGTCTTTGGAAACCCAGGCGCATGGGGCCTCTGAACCCTTGAACTTCACACATTCAGCTGCTGCGGCTTTAGGTCTACTTCGGGGATAGAACAAGGCATCACCTTGTCCCCTTTGGGCTTTTGGCATTTGTGGGTGCGAAGGCTGGCGCAGCCTCGGCCGATGGCCACATTCAGCCACCTTGGCATGTCGAGACTTCTGGGGCATAGAGGAGCTGGGTTCATCGCTTTCTGGGGTCTTGCACCTTCTGCCTCAGAAGCTCGCTTCAGCCTGACTGAACCAAAAGCCCGGCGCCGTTGGCCTTTCCATGCAATGCATCGCACTCGCTTGTGAAACATGATCTCCGCCTCAGAGGGTTGATAGGTTGAAGCTCCGTGATAGGAGCAGCAGGGGACAGTTGTGAAAGAAGTTGACCCTGATCATCCTTCGTTGCAGAGTTGGTGAACCCTCTTGGCATCAGTCCTACCACTACGAAGGGAAGAGAGCCATCCGACAGTGCACAGACAGAATGTCGTTTTAGGCCTGTACGGGGTTGAGTGTCCTTTCCAGAAGTGCACGCGCAGTCTTGGTGGGATCCTCCTTCCCTTGCTATTCTTGAATTGGAGGAAGCTTTCTGCTCCTGCATGAGATGCATTTTCTTCATACCACATGCTGGGTGCATCTATGGCATAGTGACCTTCGTACCTCCCTGCGCCCTCAGTTCATGGCACCAGCGTTACGAGCTTGCGGGTTTATGGCGAGTGAAACGCAACCTTCCCTTGAAGTGCTGCCCAAGCCCGACGGGCAGAGGAGGCCTTCGCCCTTTCCCCACACATGAGGGGTAAATACAGGGGCCTTAACAATTGGAACAGGGTTTGGGGGGTCATTTTAGCATAGTTACAAAGGGACCTTAAGGGAATACTATTAGTACTTATTCCGACCCCTATAGTATTTTTGCTTTGCTAAGAAGGGCTTGGGTGTCAAGGTCGTAGAGTCGAGCAACTGGGCGTTGGAACTCGAGTCAGTTTAGAGTGGTGTTGTATTGCTCCCACGCCCCCCTGCTGCGGACTTCCGGCACGAATGAACGAGGAAGGTGCGACATGATTATTATTGTTATTACTATTACAAAAATTGCTTCTATGATTTTTTATGACTAGTATGATTACTACTACTATTATTATGACAAGTATTACTATAATCATTATTACGGTGGAGGCACTTCGAGGGCCTCCCCCGGGGCCCGCTAGCAAGACGAAGTCCTGCTCTCGGCCAGTCTCGTGCTCCGGAATTAACAAATTCAGGCGCCGCATGCCGTGGGCATGGCAAGCACCTCGCTGAAGTTCCGATGCAGAAAAAAGGCTTCTCAGCCGCAGCTCCAAGACTGAAAAGTCCGAAACCGGAAGAACCCCCCCCCAAAATCGAGCGGAGCCCTAACAGCCCTGAAGGGCCTTTGGGAAAAGCAACCAGAATCACGGATGGGATCATGGTTCTTGACGCTTGCAATTCAAGGCTGGATTTCGGTGCCTGCTGCCTGACACAAGCCTGATGCCCGAAGGGGCAGAGGCTACGACATTGGAGCATGGCTTTCGTCCAAGTCTTAAACGTACCAGGGGTGCTGTTTCCGCCGTGGTATTTCGTGCTGGTGGGGCAGTGGCGCAAATGATGCTCTTAAACCCAATAAGCGAAAAACAGAAACAACATTGTCCCAAGGGCCTAAATAGACAAGAGCTTCCGCCTCCTCATATGATGTAGGGTTTATATTTCTTGTACCCCCAAAAGGACACCCAGTATATACACTCACCAAAATTACTTAAGGGAACCTTATATAAATATAAACCCTGCTTCATATGTCAAGCCCACCTTGCGCGCCTCTTAGCCGAAGGAGATGGATGAGCCGCCACCGGGTGGGTGTGACACCTTGGTCCTTGGTGCAAGGCTTCAAAGCACCCTAAACCCGAAACCCTAAACCCTAAACCTCAAACCCTAAACCCTAAACCTTAAACCCCCCCTCCTTTTTCAGAGTTGTTGAGCACGAAGAGTTCAGGGAAGTGGGTGCAGGATATCAGCAGCGGGTTTTCTAGGAGTGGCCACTGAAGCTACCTCCTGCTTACACACCTACCGGCTGCTTGCTTAAGGCTCATTCTCCTTGCAACAATCACCTGCCATCACGACTTGACATATATGTCGCTGAAGCCATTGCCAGCGCCAACAGCATGTGCAACGTCTTATGTAAGCAAACGCACATATCGAACAATGGCTTTATCACAGGTGCCGGGGAGCCGGGACAGAACCTTTACATTGAACAGTGTGGGCCGCGAAGGTCGCAGTGAAGTCAGAGAATTTTGCGGCTTCGGCTGGGGGGGAGGATTGGTTTGAGGATTCGACGCGCTTTTCTGACTCTGGTGCCGCGACATCGCCCTCGGCACTTAGCCTCTCGAAGCGATTGTGGAGGGCCTCCATGAGGATCGGGCCCACGTAGTGGAAGGTAATGGGTAAGGGGCTTTGAGAGGTAATGGCCCGCTCATACGCGTCATCAAGCCACTGCTTCGGGGACCCAAAGGCGTAGAGTCCATGCAAGGGCTGCAGGCGCACGCGATGCCTTTTCAGGAGGCATGCCACACCTAGAAAGTGCAGCCAAAAGATGCCAAAAGCACACAAGGGTACAAGGTTGAAACAATATACAAGGCTGAAACACTAGGTTGCTCTGCAAAAACATTATTTTTCCCCCCAGGTGCTGATGTCATCATAGGCCATGCCGTCTCTCTCCGTAGCCAGGTGGGACATGAGATCCACTTGAAAGGAGGAGGTGGAGTTTGCCATGATCCTCTTCAGGGCAGCCCTGCTCAAGGCGTAGCCGCCTCCCCCACAGAAGCCTCCGAGACCGTCCTCGCAGAAGCCGGGCCCACATCCCAAGACTCCCAGCGCCTGGGCCTCCAAAAAGCTGAAGGTCGAGAGCACCTGGCGCCTTAGTAGCCCAGTAGCCATCTTTTAATAAGGGCACCCCTTTTTTTTGGTGGGTTACTTTAGAAGGGAACCAGAGCCAAAAACAGGGAAAAGGGTACCACTGGGCTGTCCTGGCGCAAGTTTCGGATGTTCACGAAGGTGTCGTCGTCGACCACGAAGAACCAGGCGAAGTCATCGACCCAGTGGTGTGCGAACTGCAATGCCTGCACCATTGCTGGGGCATTATTCAGAATTATCATGTATGTTCCTTATTGGGGTTAAGTGTTCATAAACATGAAAAAATGATTTTCAACAATGACCCAGGTGCGTAGCCTGTCTTGCAACACAAGCCAAGGCTGTGATCCTTGCCGCACTCCAGAACCCCTAAGACAGCCGGATTCTGCACAGCTACGTCGCCCACCACTATGAGACCATCTGATGGTGAGGCTCGGATGTCTTGTCCCCATGTTCTGAGAATGGAGGAGACCTGGAATCTGTAGTTCTTGTGACCCGACCGCACCACATACAGCACTCCATCGCCACGCCGGTCCTTGGATTCCATGGTCAGGTTCGCTGCATGTAGAGGCGTCGTAGCTTCGCTCAATGCCAGTCCTCCAACCTGAGGGACATGGAACTCGGTGATGTATCTGCAAATAAAAACTTTAAGACTTTGCTTGCACTGCAAAGCACAGCAGGACTCGGGGCTTCAGCAATGTAGGGTTCGCATGTTCGTGCATTCAGCATAAAGTGCCCACCTTGTCAGTAGGGTTCACCGTCAACCACAAATCATGCATGAACCAAAGGCAAGTCAGGATCGCGAGGCAAACAATGATCAACAGCCACAGAAGCCACCGCAGTATCCAGAAAAGCGAGCGCCTGGTGTTCACAATGTGCTTCATGGCCATCTTCTCAGCACCGGTGGCTGCAGGACCGTGTCAAGGAACTTCTTCGACACTCGCCTTGAGATGCGCTCCGGCCGATGCCAAACACAACCTACACGTCTCGCACTTCACCGCAGGGACATCGATGGCCTTGTCAATGCAAGGTCTGGAACGCTCAAAGGCCGCTATGTCTCAGTAAGGGCACGAGCATACTGCCCTCGATGTCTGGCCCTAAGCGACCTAAGCGTGCCAACTACAAACTTGAAGCCAAATCCTGCCATTCTTGACCAAACTACATTCTGGGACAGTGGCAAAGTCATGTGTGTGAGCGGGGGGGGGGGGGGGGGGAAGTAGGATGCTTCTCAGGAACAGCAAGCAGGTCCATGAGCGTTCTTGCCATGCACTTGTGGTACAAGTCTTTCGGCTCAACCTCTGGGTCATTGCTGGAGCTGACCCTAAACCCGAAACCCGAAACCCCAAACCCTAAACCCTAAACCCTCTGAGTATAGCACTCCCTTCCGGGCAGCTCTATCTCCTACCCCGGAGTCCCTGAAGTGAATTTCCCAACCTAGGAGTACCCCTTCTGTACCCCAAAGTGGATAGAATCCCCTTCAAGGGACGCCCAAAAAAGGTACCGCTACTTTCGGAAACCCGCACGTGTGGCAGTGAACTGAACGCAATGAGCTCAGTGCGTCCGACGATTGGTCATGACGTTGCCGCAGTTCTGGTTGCCACCGCAGGCGTAAGCCTTTGAGCTTTGCGGGGCTTACTTGGGACAAACTTCAGCTCAAGCAGAAAAAATCTGGGAGATGCTGCTTAGCACCCTATAGCATCGAACTGCACAAAGCCCTGAAGTTCAGGGTTTAGGCTGCTCGATCCGACTGGCAGCTGTGACAGTGGGGCTTTGGAAGCTCCATCCACATTGGCTCCTGCGTCCTCCACTTGGAGGTTCATGGGCACGTATAACCCCAATTATAACTGTACTTATAAGCCCCCTAAGTCCCCTAAGTAGGTTATAAGTAGACTTATTAGTGGGGGTTATAAATACCATGAACCTCCAAACAGTGACTACCTCAAGCGAAAGAGACGGCAAGAATCTGTCGAAATGGTTGGGCATGCCATTGTGGCAGCCATTAATAGCCCCTCATCCCGTTACTGGAAAGTGTGGAATCAGTTGGTTCTGACTCCCCGACCCGTGTAAACCCCAAACCCTAAACCCTAAACCCTAAACCCTAAACTCTAATCCGGGCTCCTGACGTTTGATGACATGTTCTGATGATCCTGGGCATTGAGGCGGGGTCTAGAGCTCAAAGTTCAGGGAATCGCACTTGGAGGTTCATGGGTACTTATAACTATAAGTCTACTTATACCCTACTTAGAGGACTTTATGGGGCTTATAAGCACAGTTATATAACCCCAGTTGTAAGTCTACTTATACCCTACTTAGAGGACTTTACGGGCTTAGAAGTACAGTTATAGTTGGGGTTACAAGTAACCTGAACCTCCAAGCAGGGTCTGACAAAGTGTTCACAGTGCACATCTTCTGCAGCTACGCTCCGCTGGAAATGCTGGCGCAGGTGACACTCGGCCCTATACCCTGAACTTCCCAAAACCTAAAAAAAGACTTAACAAGGGTTCTGAGAATTCAGAAACAGGGGAAGAATCTTCGTGGATATGTTAAGCCCTTAGCCCTTAGCCCTTAGCCCTAAGCCCTAAACCCTAAACCCTAAACCCCAAGAACGCCTGCCCCACATGCAACGCGCTGCGTGCAAGGGGCTGAGTAGCGGCCATGGATCGCCGCGCCGGCCCCATCCTGTCGCTGCTTTTTCCACGAGAAGCCCTGAACGCTACACACCTTTAGGGTTTAGGGTTTAGGGTTGAGGGTTGAGGGTTTAGGGTTTAGCAAAAACTCGCTGCCAGACTGTACACTCTAGACATAAAACCCCGTCTTGCGCCTGCGCGAAAGGGGCACTCTGCCGTGGCATTGGAGGCGGCAGGCCTCCGTCCCAAGCGGAGGTTTTAGGGTTTGGGCGGTTTGGGGCTTATAGGGTAATATAGGTGCGCTAATAATTGGAACTAATAGGGTCTTGGGGGCTATTACAGTATAACGATAAAGGGACCATAAGGGAATACTGTTAGTAATTCTTCCGACCCCTTTACTAGGGAAAAGGGGCAGTGTCGGATGGGGATGGGCGATCGATTTTGTCAAGAGGTCGACGTGTTGCTTCAGAAAGCGGTCGTCTGCAACTTACGAAATCGTAACAAGCGCCAACTATCGAGACTGGAGTTTTGGAGCTGGCTGTAATGGAAACAGCTACAGCAACTCAGGTGAACCACGACGAGAGGACACAGCCGTTGTGTGCAAGCCTTGTTGTCGGGGGTACACAGTACTCGAGGAATGTAGATTTCAAGGGACATATCTGCAATCAGCTTCTGGGTCGGAAAGCCATGCGCCTTAGGTTGGTGCAACGGTGGACCGCAGACCCCTTGGTGCCTGCCCCTGCGCCGTAGTCGTGGGCGAAGGGCGCGCCTCCTGTCCAGCATCCTAAGCCATCAACCCTATGCCCAATCATGCTGAGCCATCTTCATTTTATAATCGAAAAACTAAAAGAGGGCAGGGGCTCAAGGCTGCAAACATGCCTTGCTAAACGCAGAGAAAGATGCTCAAATTTGGGCCTGCGCATGGTTTGTGGCACACTGTTGGCAGGTTCTTGGTGGAAGGGCTGGACGGTGGGAAGAAGTGCGAAGCCGCCTACAAGACAACCACCTGACTGTGCGAACTGAATTCTTCCTAAACCCTAAGCCCTAAGCCCTAAACCCTAAACCCTGAACCCTAAACCCTAAACCCTAAACCCTAAACCCTAAACCCTATTTCTTCAGGGGCAGAGTCTCCTCGGCTGGCCTGCTGCGGCGCCTGCAGATGATTCGTTTTACTTAGGGGCTGAATACCCTAGCCCCAAGAAGGTCAACCTTGTATACCCTAGTTGTCCAGTGTAGGGTTTAGGGTTTAGGGTTTAGGGTTTGGGGTTTAGGGTTTAGGGTTTAGGGTTTAGGGTTTAGGGTTTAGGGTTTAGGGTTTAGGGTTTAGGGTTTAGGGTTTAGGGTTTAGGGTTTAGGGTTTAGGTTCTAGGTTAGGGCTTAGGGTTTAGGGGATCATACTACCCCAAAAAGGTTAAAGGTTACGTACTCTACTACTAGGATATATAGTAGGATTCTAGGATTCTAGGATTCTGTAGAACCAACAAGGTTACAGGATACCTACCCAGCCCCTAAGGTTACCCTGGTGATGATGACTTCCTTCTCTGCTTTGTTGCTCCCTGTTCGTGTTTAAAGGTTCGGCTGTGGCGACTTGTTGCATGAATAGCACCATGAACAATCCTGGCGTCATAGACTAAACCCTAAACCCTAAACCCTAGACCCTAAACCCTAAACCCTAAACCCTAAACCCTAATCCCTAAACCCTACACCCTAAACCCTAAACCCTAAACCCTAGCACAGACGATGCGTGCTTCAGAAGCCTTGTGGCCCTTTTTTAACTGCGCACAGAAAGTCAGAAAGTCGCGCCTGGAACCCTGCGGCTGCCATGGGCCCTGAAGCGGAGGCAGAGGGCCAAGCATGGGTTTGGGGGCATAAGGGGTCAGGGTTTGAAGGTTGTCGGGTTCAGGGGTGGTTAGGGTTTAGGGTTTAGGGTTTAGGGTTTAGGGTTTAGGGCTTAGGGTTTAGGGTTTAGGGTGTAGGGCTTAGGGCTTAGGGTTTAGGGTTTAGGGTTTAGGGTTTAGGATGTAGGGTGTAGGGTGTAGGGTTTAGGAGAACCCCTGAAAAATTACCCATTTTCTTCCTGATAAGGGCAATACAGGGATGATTATCTTTGTTGGGGGGGGGGGGGTCTGAAGCACATAGTAGTTCTAAGGAGCGGTAGAGGAATAGATCCTAAAGCCTTTGTGAAGCGACCCCGAAATCGGGTGGAAAGGGGATCCAGGCTTGGCAGCTGACGCCAAACGCGGACTCTACACAAACCCTAAGCCCTAAGCCCTAAGCCCTAAACCCTAAACCCTAAATCCTAAAACTTTAAGCCCTAAACCCCAAACCCTAAACCCTAAAACCTAGACCCTAAACCCTAAACCTGAGCCCTAAGGTCGTCTTGATCAGGCATCTGCGGGTAGTTTGCCGGGTAGTGTTAAAGCAAGGTCCCTGTCTTACTATGCAATGAAAAAGAGGTGGTTGGCACGGTTAGACCTGCAGACCTCAATCCTTCTAGACCCCTCAAAGCCCTAAACCGTCAACTTACAATCGCCCAGGTGGACACAAACCAGCCTCCCCCCACACCCACAAATAGGGGTCTACGACAATAGGGGACCCCTAATGTAAACCCCCAAATAATAAGGATTTCTATTTATTGGGGGTACCTTACTGGGATCGTTATTATCAGGGAATCCTACAATTTGGGGGTTTATATTGCGGCTCCCTTGTTTCGTCAACCCCGAAATCTAGCGAAACCAGGCCTGTGGGCTGTTGCAGCGCCTGCCAAAGGGGGCTGACAGGGTCGTGGAACCACTCTTGGGAGTTGGACCGGTACAAATGGGGGTTTCCGAACATAGGGGGTACCTCCCTATGAGGGGATGTTTTTCTATTTGGGGTAACAAAAGGGGTACCCCTATACAAGTGATGCAGGGTCACTGATCTTCTACTGTATCTACACATCTATACATGTCGCTGACTGCTTTCTGTACGCTCGTTCTTTCTTTCGTTCTTTTGTTCTTGCGCAGTTTGTGCGCATCGATGTCGAGGCGGTGCACGGACTGAACGGCTCAGAGAAGGCCTCTTTCTGTACCCGCCGTCCTTTTTGTATTTTCTCTGTGTCTCTCTCACTCTCTCTCCACCTCTCTTAGGGTCTACTTCCAAGCCCTCGACGCATATTTATCCTGGGGTCCCATTTCAGGCGCTAGGGGTTCTAGGGCTTTGGGTTTACAGTTTACTCCAGGGTTCCTTGGATGCGTGATCAGACCCTGCTCGGAGCCCAAAAG